TTCTGTTTACTGAGAATTGTATTCTGACTTGTTCAATAAAGATTATTAAAAATATATATATATATTTAACTTTTTTTACTTGTTTGCTTTTGTCTACTGTCAAATCTGCATTCCAAATGAAAATATATTCATAATTGCTTTCCCAATATGAATAAAGATCAAGTCAATAAAATAATCAAGTAGGACTCTGAGGTAGCGTTCGGAAACAAAACAAACAAGGGGGCGGGGCTAAACTAAAGCTAATTCCTTAGCGGCCACTAATGTCATTTCTAAAACAGGAAATGGCGCTTTCCTCCGCTGAACCGTCTTCAGAAAATCCTTGTTAATTTCCAGGCTACATTAGTTCAATTCTCAGTTCTCTTGGTGCTCATTTGTCACTTCATTGTCTTTTTAAGTAGAGTGGCGGATTGAGTTACGTGCTTGAGTCTGGTTTGTTCTTCGTGAGAGGAAATTGTTGTCTGGAATTTTTATTAATTCCCCTCAAAGGACCGTGCAAAAATATTTTTGCTGGTATGACTGGTTTATGAGAGTGAAAACAGCTGCAGTCACATTAACTGCAATAACAAGGCATAAGATAATTCACGATATACTAGTGGGGTGTAAAAAGAGACATTTATGAGTCAAGATAGCGCAAAACTACCACTACTGCACTTAACATAAGTGCTGGTGGGACAAAGAAAAGAATGTAGGCGCACCAGTGGAAAAAGTTAGTCTCGAGCCCTGTGAGCAATTGCATAATAAGAATAGAACAGAATAAATATTTATTGTGCACTGGGGGTGGAAATTAGTTGTTCTGAAAGCCAGAAAGGGACAGCGGTTACTGCAGTGGACAGGTTATCAGGTTTACCAGGTATCCTTATTTGTGCATGAAAAGGTTACATTTTGTGTCATGTCTGTGATCAGCTGCTATTCTAGAAATGTAAACAACTGAATGAAAACCTCCTCGGAGACTGATGCTGACAAACATGACTCACTGTTTGATAATTTGTATTTTATTCAGAATCATATTCACGTCTTCTCACCTTCACATCAAAAGACAACGTTTCCGTGTTCCATCTAATCAAGCATGAACTTAGTTCATATGACATCACAAAAACATTCGACAAAGCGCGTGCATTGATTTAAGTATTTTGGCACCAGTGCCTTTTTTTTAAAATACACAGACTACATGAAGTTAAAACATCAGATGTTACATAAGGGGTGTTCATACGGCACACATTTGCATCAGTGCTGCATCGACGTATTTTGTTGTGATATATCTTACACCGGTGCAAATTTTTGGAGCGTTCACACATAAAAAGCTGCTGACTAAAGAGAAGCGTGTTTACCCCGGTGCAGCCCTACTTGCGTCCACACGGCAGTTTCTGTGGCCGTGCAATACGATCGTACTAATAAGGAAATAAAACAAAAGAGCTGTCGTGTTGGTTCTTTTTAAAACATACACTTGATTAATTTGTTCAACTCAAGTAACTACAGGCACGTCCTTCTCCTTCTCGGTCTCCGTGCCTTCTGCTCGAGAGGTGTGCAATGACCAACCCCCAAATCAGCGATGACTTCAATGACACTCAGAAAAGCAAAACATAATGCGCCAAACAGAAAATCAAGAGAGGAAATCACAAAATAAATTGTATGGGGGGGGGGGTGAACACACAACAGAGGAACAAACTACACAAACATCTCCGAGACAGTCCAGTCTCCTACAAAAGGAAAGATGACGGAAGTACAACAGAGCACGAAAGCAAAGCATTCTCGCCGTATGTAATCAACTCTTCTCGTGCGTAGCGAGTCTACTCCTGTAGCGTTCACACGTACCATCTTACATCGGTGCTGCCCCGCAAACGAGCATTTACTCCGGAGCAAATTTTTAAACCACCTCCTTGAGCAGGGTTAAATTTGCTCCGGTTTAAGCTGTTTTCAGGGACTCCACCGATGTAACTTTGTATGTGTGAACGCTCTACGGGGGCAGCCCCGATGCTGCGCCGGAGCAAAAGTTGCCGTGTGAACACCGCTATAGACTGAAATATATATTTGTACAGTTACTATTGCAAAAACATGTGGTCAGGAGTACCCAACCAATTGATCGCGCTCAGCTGTGTGCATGTTTTCATGATATAGTTTGTGTTCGTGTATGCGACGTCCACATGATTTCTTTTGCAAAGTAGGTCATCTTTGTTGTTAAAACCTCACTTACTGTCTCTTCAAATATGGAGATGAGCTGAGCCAGCAGTCCAGAATTTAAGTTCATGGATCAGCACCCTGCGCTCCCAAACCAATACACTTGTGTCTCTTGATCTTATCCTTCTGAGAAAATCGATGGTCACAAACTGAGCATCCAAATGGTTTCTCACCTGTGTGGGTTCTTGTGTGCCTTTTCAAGCCTCCCTTATGAGAGAATTTTTGGCTACAAATTTGGCATTCAAACGGTCTCTCACCACTGTGGGTTCTCGTGTGACTTCTTAAGTGTCCGTTCTGAGAGAATCTTTGGCCACAAACTAAGCATTCAAAGGGCTTCTCACCAGTGTGGGTTCTGGAATGTATTTTTAAGTGATGCTTCAGAGAGAATCTTTGGCCACAATCTGAACAGGAAAAAGGTTTCTCACCAGTGTGTGTTTTTGTGTGTGTTTTTAAGTATGTCCTCCGAGAGAATCTCTGGTCACAAACTGAACAGGAAAAAGGTTTCTCACCGGTGTGGGTTCTTGTGTGTGTTTTTAAGTTGATATTATGAGAGAATCGTTGCCCACACACTGAGCAGGCAAAAGGTTTCTCACCGGTGTGGGTCCTTTTGTGAGTTTTTAAAATGGACTTTTCAGAAAAGCTCTTGCCACAATCAGAACATGCAAAAGGTTTCTCCCCAGTGTGGGTTCTTGTGTGTATTTCGAAGCTCGTCTTATGAGAGAATCTTTGAGCACAAACTGAACATGCAAAAGGTTTCTCACCAGTGTGGGTTCTGATGTGACTTTTCAAGCTTCCTTTCTGAGAGAATATTCTGCCACAAAGCGAACATGCAAAAGGTTTCTCGCCGGTGTGGGTTCTTGTGTGTGTTTTTAAGTGTACCTTATGAGAGAATCTTCGGCCACAATGTGAGCAGACAAATGGTTTCTCACCAGTGTGGGTTCTTGTGTGTTGTTTCAAACGGCTCTTATAAGCGTAGGTTTTCCGACACTGAGAACATTTCCAGCGCTTCTTTTTCGTGTAACATGTCACATCAGCTTCAAACTCGTCATTATTATCATCATCTTCATCATCAACACCAGTATGAGGAGTGTGTGACAAAGTGTCATCGCTATCTGATAGTGGAGCTAAGAGGCCATCTGCTTCTGTTGTCATGTGTTGAGGTGAGCTACTGCTTGGAAGCTCTGCACCTCGACTCGCTTCACTTTCACCATCATCGTCACACTTCAAAGGAACACCAGTTGATGGCAACTTCCAGATATACTCTTCCTCCTTCTCCTCTTTTATGAAGAGGGGTTCTTCTCCCTCCTCCTTCATGCAAGGGCACTCTGACTCCTCCTCTTTTTTAATGTAAGGGGACTGCTGCACCTCTTCCTCTTTAAAATGGTGGACTGCTTCATACTCATCTTCCTCTTTAATGTCCAGGGGCTCTGGCGCCTGACTCTCAGGATGAACATCTTCACTGATATCTGCAAGATACAAGAAGACGAAGACACTTGGAATTGTGGTTTATATTTACAATGAACGTTAAGAGAACCATGAGAGTTAATTGAATATGAACCCAATTGAGCTCTGATTTCTGTAGATTTGGTTCAATTCGTAGAGCCCACAGTATAAAGTAAACACGGTGAAGCTGTATTTACTGTGACGCTGCACGCAAATGGAATACGCTGCCAACAGTAACACATGCAGCTCTGAGTGGAAATGCTTTTAAATCCAGCTTGCCTTTTTTCTCCAAAAATTTGATTTAGGTGTTCTAAATGGTCACTGATGGAAAACCTGTTCGCCTATACAATCAAAGATGGCATGTCTGATTGTAAGTATCTTACACTCCAAACCCATTTCCATGAGTGCTAAGTTTTTTTTTTTCTGTTTTTTAATTTGTCATCATTTGCCAAAAAAGTGGCAGTCCGTCAGTGCCACGGACTGATGAACCTTCAATCAGGACTGATTTTTGGTCACTTGTGTTTGTAAATGCTTGTGGGATGCTGTGTGTTTGCTTGTGCGAAGCACAGTGAGTTACCTTGTGTACGAAATGTGCAACAACAATAAAGTAGCTTTGCCTTTCTTTGTTCTTAAAATGTCAAAGCATCCTTTCGTCTTAACTTATTAACAACATTTCAAAACAATTTTCATCCCCTTTTCTACCTCTTTTCAGTGACGTTGGTCTTGTTGATTACATTTTAAAAAAACAAAATGAAATTTTCCATCATGTATCTGCATTTTTTTGCTTTTTGAGAAATAACTTTGGTTGTTTTTTTATTGAAATTTGTGTGTACTCCACCTCTTGCCCAAAGCCAGCTACGACACGAATAAGGATCCGCGTTTCCGTGAACGGATAGATAAGTTCAAGTCGCGCGATACTGGATGTTGTCACATAACGTATGACAATACCGTAATGAGGGTCTCGCCAAAAAACAAACAGAAAGTAATATCTACAAGTGATCAAACCTGCTCTGCGTGAGTGAACTCGAGACTTCCTGAAAACAGCGTCGTTGTCCTCTTTTGTTCCACAAAGCTCATTCTCCATTTCTGATATCCTTTTGGCACACATTTTCACACCATCAATCCGAAAAAAATTCCGTTGACGCTTGATCTCTGCCTCGCAACGAAACGCGTCTGCTTGTTGGTGGCGAACAAGCTAGGCTAAATTAAGCTAGTCCCGGCACCTTGAGCAAGTGATGTCATCGTCCAAATAAAATATTGATGGACGTCCTGCGTGATAGACTGAAGCTAATGTATCTTCAGTTATAATTTGAGAAGAAGGATTTGTGTTATTTTGAGGATTTTGTTTCTTTTAAGTGAGCTAGTGTTGCAGCTTGTTCTACGGGAGTGGAAACGCACCGAACATTGTACGGCAACAGTTTTTGGACAAATGTCTTGGTAATTCGACACTCGACTTCAAATAAACTTTATGAGCACATATAGCAACGAAAATGCGCCTTAAATGCGTTGGTTTTTAGTTTAATCTCCGCGAAAATATTCACCTCAAACGTTTTATTTCGTTGTATCGATTCACGCGTGAAACAAAATTTGACCCAATGGGCTTGCTGTAGTGTAGAATCTTCGCTTAGTTGCTTTTTTTTTTTTTTTTTACCAGGGCACCCGCTTCCACACGCCGCATTGTAATTTCCTGTTTTTGTCTCAAATTTTACTTTCACCTTCACATAAAACCGTACACAACAATATAGTGGACACATTTCGTCTGTTCGTCTGTCGTTTTAAAATATACACGGGGACGGAATTGTTTTACCCCTCATTGATGAAAGAAAATACCACAGTGGTCACAGAAATAACTGAAATCTTACCAATGTCTTACGAAACAAAAAAATAAAAGGAATGATGAAAATGAAGTATTCAAAATAAGACAATATTTTTGAATGCTATTCAATAATGTTATTTTACAAAATCATGAAACCTGGACAAAAATGACGGTACCCTGAACTTAATATTTGTTTGCAGAGGCAATCACATCAATCACAAGATTGTTTTCAGCTTCCGGTGAGACTCTGCACCTCTCAGCAGCTATTTTTGTATAACACTGTGGGCTTTGCTTTCATTAACAGGGGGATACCAACAATTTGTCCCGGTGTAAATCACACAGTGTTGCTGTGTTGTAGCATGTAAACATCATTCAGTAATATTTTGAACTAGTGCATATGATTTAATGGCATTCCGATTCTGGAAAGCAATTCTCCAACGAGGGTGCATCATCTCCACAGGAAGAAAAAAATCGACTTTCAAGACGTGGAGTGGGCTGCAATTACTTTTTTGTTCCTGTTTACACACATTTGAATGAACATGTCAGGACTGCAAATATGCCATTACCTTCTAAGCTAGCTCTACAACAATACTAGCTCTACAATAATACATGATTCGACACATATATAGATTCTCTTTGATGCGCTCTCATGTTTTTATTAAAAAAAAAAACAATTTTCTGTATCAAATGTTTTTAAAACTGCCATCATTTATAAAGAATGCACATTATTTCCATTTGGGAGTGCAGAAAAGTGCATAAACATTTTTGAGTTACCATTTTTTTCACAAAATGTTCGTATCAAAACCTTTACAAATCACAAGGGCCATTAGAAATATAATATCAATATTGTGCTTTACTATTCAAAGGCGGTTTATATACATTTTTACACATTTTACATTCTGTGTGCAGTACATTTTACGACCCGAGGCGATTGTTGCCTTTAAGTTTGTCCCAAGGGCTTTGCCGTAGATCGTTGTTCTGGAGCTGTCGCTGGACACGCCAAACTACAACACGGCTTCAGTTTCAAAAAAATAACATAAAGTAAAGAAAAAATAACCAACATTTCTTCTCGAATTACAGCTAAACGCACCTTAGCATCGATGCAGGACGCCCATCATTGCTTTATTGGACTATAACGTCATTATCTCAAGCTTCGGGGCCTACTTTAGCTTACTTAGCTTAGCTTACTTGGCCTAGCTTGCTAGCCGCTGCCTCGCAAAACAGAGATCAAGTGTGAACGTAAAGTGTTGTCATTTTCCCGAAAAATGTGCACAAGAGGAAAAGCGGAGCACGAGGAGCAACCTTGTGGGACAAAAGAGGACAGCGAGGCTGTTTTCAACAAGTCCCGATCTCGATTTGGCTCACGCGGAGCAGGTTTGGTCATTACTCGTTCTTTCACTCTCGGCCACGACCTACTTTTCTTCCTGTCATTAATAACCATTTTCCGCAACAGAAATCTATCTTTTCTCTCAGAAGTGGTCAAGAGAGACGAATTGCACTTTTTTTCTATTCTCACAGTGATCTTTCCTTCATTTGAGTGCTGCGTTCTTAATTTTTGGAAACCAATTAATTTTTTTTCTGGGAGGGTGGGGGTGATTTGACGGACACGGCAGTAAGCTCCGATTGGATGCTCTTTTCCTCATGGTTCTCTGTTCCTTGCCATGTCTTTTTTTAACATAGTTCATCAGGTTGCGCGCGCGCGCGCCCGTGTGTGTGCGTGTGTGTGTGTGTGTGTGCGTGTGCGCGCGTGCGCACCATGCGCTCAGAGGCATCTTGTGATATGTACAGGTATATGTGTATGTTGGGGAGGGAGGGGAAAGGTCCTGTTTTTATGTTGCAATTTTGATGTTTTAATTGCTCTTTTGAGTTGCACTTTTATGTTTGAAAAGTGCGAGACAAATTCATTTGGATTTATTGGGCTCTTGTAATAACCTTCATTGTAAATCTAAACCAGTGGTCTCAAACTCATTTCACATTGTGGGCCACGTACGGCCTCGGTAGATGTCAAGTGGGTCGGACCTTTACAATTATACCATACTCTGCTATGAATAACCATCTTTCCTTTGTTTTGATCGAAAGAAGCACAAGAACATGAGGAAAAGGTTGAAAGTTAATGAACATGTCTTTTACAAAACATTTCATGAAGCACCTTATATTTCCTTTGACAATAAATGTCAAAGTGCCGGCCCGTGGGCCAAATCCGGCCCGCGGGAAGGTTTTCAGTGGCCCCTGGGATGATATTGATTTATTATTAGAACCGTCCCGCAAGCCGGCAGCCCGCAGATCTTTTACACGCACCAATACTACATTTCCCACAATGCAACGGTGACGCGCCAAGCAGTCAGCCGCTTTATTTCAATATTTATTAGTGCAGCAGTCGCTCGCATAACAGTGACGTTCGCTTTCAGATACCCATCAAAAATGGCAAAACGGAAGGTGGACACTGAGAACCGGGGGTTTCAAACAAGGTGGGAGTCGGAGTACATGTTCACGGACGTAGCTGGAAAACCTGTGTGTCTTCTGTGTGGAGAAAGCGTGGCGGTATTGAAAGAGTGTAATCTGAGATGACATCATGAAACGAAACGCGCGAGCACAAACAAGAATATGGACATCGAACAAAGGCTACAGAAGGTTGAGGAATTAAAACGAAGCCTAAAATCTCAACAGGCTCTGTTCAAAAAAGCCAAATCACAAAGCCAGGCTGCTGTCACGGCCAGTTTTATTGCGGCAGAAGAGATCGCTAAATCAGCCCGGCCACTTACGAAGGGGGGTTTCATTAAAAACTACGCTTAAAGTTTGTGACGAAGTTTGCCTCGAAAAAAAGCAACTCTTTTTAAACGTGCGCATGAGCAGAAACACCATTGCCTATCGAGTAGAGCAGTTGTCCATTTATCTAAAAGAGCAGTTTGTGAAAAATGGAAAAGATGTCATCCCATATTCCTTGGCTGTGGATGAGAACGCTGAAGTTTCTGACGTTGCCCAGTTGTCAATTTTCATCCGCGGAGTGGACTCCAGCCGAAGCGTGACAGAGGAGTTTTTGGCTTTACATCCTATGCATGACACAACTATAGTGCATGAAAAAGATACGGCAGTGGGTGCTGCGCAGTTTACCCGTTTCCTCCCCGACACAATGGCCCAGCTGCACACCCAGGATGCTTAAACGTTGTCGATGTTTGGCAGCACATACCTGTGTGAACAACTATTTTTTTTGTTGGTGAAGCTGAACAAAACATCACACAGAAGTCGACTGCTGAAAACCTTCACTCAATTTTGAGGATTTGCTTAGCTCAGAGCCTGACCCCAAATATTGATGAACTTGTAGAAAAGATGAGACACCACCAAGTATCAGCCTCAGCCTCAAAGAAGTGAATACAGGATTACTGTGCAATCACATATGAAGAGTTTTTCCTCAGGTCAAGTGTAAAAATTAAAGCATAATTCTGTATTTGCTTTAACTGCATGTTACTTCTCCTTGAAGAAAGTGTTGTTTTTGGTGAATAAATTTTTGCACTTTATTTTAGTGTATTTCAATGCAATTATGTTTTTAAAATATTTTATTCGAGCGAATGATCGAAAATTGCTATTATTTGTTTGTCTTTGAGGAAAATTTAGCCTACTTTTGCTAAAAGAGAAAATATGGACTATTGATGGTGCCTTGAATAAAACCGGCTTCTTTCATTCATGTTATGGATATTTTTATACCATGGAAATTTGTTTTTTGTGCCTGTTGAGAATTAAAGTTTACTGACAGAGCCATAAGAAAATGTTGCTTTATTTATCTGATCATATTGGAATGTATTTCTTAGGTTTTCAGTCGATTAAATTTGGTTCAATAAACTATATGTGGTAATTGTTAAATTTTTCAATGAACAATCGATCAGTCCGGCCCTCAGCTTGCAGCAAAATTTTTTATTTGGCCCTCTGTCCATTTGACTTTGACACTTTTGCCTTCGACAAATGTGCAATTTACTTTCATCATTCACATATATGCATTGCAACTGATCCCACTGATTGTACAAAGGCACAAAACTAACAATTAGTCGTGAAAAATACAGTAACGCATTTTAAGATTAAACAAGATTTATGAAGAAATGATTTTTTGAAATATTTCCACATGTGCATATAAAATCTAAATGTAATACCTGCCTACACCTTACAAACTAAGGAGAGTGCTATTAAATGTGTAAAAAAGTATTCACACGTCCTTGATAGTGTCTGCTGTGTTGGGTCTGTCTCAGCTCTCTGTCTTCTCTGCTGTTGTCTTCTTCTCTGATCAAAACAATGTTGTCTTCTGCTCTGATCAAAACAGTCTGTCGCCTAGCGGACAAATTGCACCTTATTAAAAATATCCATTCCATGTCTTTTATGCATTTTTTTCACTTTTAAATGATCCTGCGGGCCTGATCGAACCTCCTTGGGGGCCGGTTCCGGCCCGTGGGCCGTATGTTTAACACCACTGATCTAAACCATAATTCCACACGTGTTTGTCTTCTTGTGTCTTTCAGACATCACCGAAGATGTTTGTCCTGAGCAGCTGGATGCAGAGCCTTCTCGCATTAAAGAGGAGCAGGAGAAAAAAGAGGTCTCCCACTTGAAAGAGGAAGAGGAGCAGCAGGCCCATTGTATTAAAGAGGAGGAGCAAGAGCACCCTTGCATGAAAGCGGAGGTGGATGAGCCCCCTGACGTCAAAGAAGAGGAGGAGGAGATTATCAGCAAGATGCCATTTACTGGCGTCCCTCTGAAAAGTATAAATGATGCGGACAGAGAGGCTCCAAGCAGCAGCTCATGTCAACACATGACAACAAAAGGTGTTGGAAACCCCCAGGAAGAATCAAAAGCAGATGGCCTCTTAGCTCCACTATCAGAGAGTGACAATACATCGTCAAATACAGATGAGGAGGAGGAGGAGGAGGAGGAGGATGAGTCTGAAGATGATCTGACATGTAACACAGACAAGAAACCCTGGAAATGTTCTCACTGTGGGAAAATGTATGCTTATAAAAGTCTTTTGGAATTACACACCAGAACACACACTGGTGAGAAACCGTTCACCTGTTCAGACTGTGGCCAGAAATTCTCTTTTAAGCGAACCTTAACAGCTCACATAAGAACCCACACTGGTGAGAAACCCTTTTCCTGCTTAGTTTGTGGCCAAAGATTCCGTTGGAGGGGATGCTTAAAAAAGCACGTAAGGACACACACTGGTGAGAAACCTTTTGCCTGCTCAGATTGTGGCAAAATATTCTCTGTGAAGGCAAACTTAAAGAAGCACGTAAGAACCCACACTGGTGAGAAACCTTTTACCTGCTTAGTTTGTGGCCAAACATTCTCTTGGAAGGAAAGCTTAAAAATTCACACAAATACCCACACTGGTGAGAAACCATTCACTTGTTCAGACTGTGGCCGGAAATTCTCTTGTAAGGGAACCTTAACAGATCACATTAGAACCCACACTGGTGAGAAACCCTTTTCCTGCTTAGTTTGTGGCCAAGTATTCCGTTGGAGGGAAAGCTTGAAAAGGCACACAAGAACCCACACTGGTGAGAAACCTTTTGCCTGCTCTGACTGCGGCCAAACATTCTCTGAGAAGGGAACCTTAAAAAAGCACACCAGAGCACACACTGGTGAGAAACCTTATGCCTGCTTAGTTTGCGGCCAAAGATTCTCTTGTAGGGCAAGCTTCAAAATGCACGTAAGAACCCACAGTGGTGAGAAACTTCTTTCGTGCACAGTTTGTGGTCAAAGATTCTCTCAGAAGGATCACTTGATGCGTCACACAAGTACACACACTGCTGAGAAGCCTTTTGCTTGCTCAGTTTGCGGCAAAAGATTCTCTCAGAAGGGAACCTTAATAAATCACACAAGAACCCACACTGGTGAGAAGCCGTTTGCCTGCGTAGTTTGTGGCAAAATATTCTCTCAGAAGAAAACCTTAATAAATCACACAAGAACCCACACTGGTGAGAAACCTTATGCCTGTTCAATTTGCGGCCAAAGATTCTCTCAGAAGGGAGACTTACCAAAGCACACAAGAACCCACACTGGTGAGAAACCGTTTGTGTGCTCAGTTTGTGGCCAAAGATTCTCTCGAAAGGGAACCTTAAAAATACACACAAGAACCCACACTTGTGAGAAACCTTTTGCCTGCTGAGTTTGTGGCCAAAGATTCTTGTGGGAGCAGATTAAGAATCACAAGTATGTTGATAAGATGAACAGTTATCAATTAAATTTTCAGCTTTCATCTGTGCAGGCTTCATGATTTCATGCACCAAGGCTGATTGTAAGTCCCTTTTTATCGGGATGCTGAACTTTTCTTTCCCTTGGCTGCATTGAAAATTTTTGTTATTGTATCTAATTAGAAAATCGAACATTTTCGTCAGGGCTATAATAATTTTGGATTCATCGTGGGAGTTAGTTTTCATTTGGTTGTGATATGAGGTTTTTAAATGTAGTTTGTTTTATTTTGTTTTACAAAGGTTTGGTAATTTGTATTCTTGTTTTTTTCCCTCCTCAAAATTCAACCATTTTTAAATCGTGTAAAAATGTATTCTGTCTTCAAATTTGCAACATGTGTTCATTTCTCCCCACCCACTTGCTGTCAATCACTTTTGGAGGTGCTCAAAGTTGAAAGGGCAGTTGGGATGTGGAGGGTTTTTTTTTTAATGAGCGACGAAAAAATAATGTAATCCGTGCACAAAATGCTAATATGTGTGCATTTTATATAAATGTGAATGTTTCAATCCTGTGTCATTTGGGCCATGAATAAAGTACTATAAATGTCCGTGTAGTTATTTTTTACGTTATGCTTTTTTTTTTTTTTAAAATAAAATATAACTGAAAAATTACTCACCTTATCTCAGTTTGAACTTTTCTGGGTTCAGTTTAATTTTCATTTGTCTGCACCGCTTCCTGGAACACCCCGGGACTTCTTCTGATCCAGTCTGTGCCACAGTCCACAGGAATGAAAATACCTCTGTGCTCAAGGTCTGGAAGCTCCTCTTTCAGAGGCCTCGTCATGGCGCCCGGATCACATCGCTCTAGTCATTGCCACAAGTTTCACACTTTCATCCACTTGGATTTTGTTTTCTCCAACCAGACAACCATCTCCTGGGAAACAAATCAACAAAGTCTGTTTTTATCTGTTCCATTGTCCTTCAGTGTTCCTTTCAGCCAGGGCCAGCCATTTTGGTATCCATATTGAATAGACGCACCTGAAAACCTGGACTCTCGTGCAGTAGGTGGTGGACACCTTGAACTGGTTGCCATCCAATCGCAGACACAAAATTCTGTCAATATGAATGTTTCAAAAACTTTCACAAAGATGAATAATAATAATTAAGTCTTTATAAAACACTAAGAATGGAACCAAATACTCAAATGATTTGAAAAAATAATTTAAAAAAAAATGCCACGACTATTAACAGTGAAATACCATTTTGAATGAACCATGGTACAAAAGTTTTCTAAATTAATTATATAATGATCCAGGCCTGTATTTCAAACATTGGTACATTGAAATTTCAACATTCTACCTTAAAAGGCAAGGACTGATAGGGCACTATATGAATATTTGAAATAATGTGAAAACTTTGAAGATGAAAGGGAGAAATCTACCCAGCTTTCAGATAGATTTTCTTTACCTAATTACAATTTCATCAATAGATGTCGCTCCTGGCCTATGAACCTCTCGAAAATGTCTGCATCATTGTTGCATAGTAACTAACTTTGTCTTTGAACATTCTATTGTATTTTCACAGCGTAATCAATGTGCAGGTCACAACCGCTCCAAAATAGCGTTTTGGAAAAGTTATTTTTGGAGCGCTTGCATTACTCAATCACCACGAGCTTGTTTTGTCACAATACTGTCAATCACCATTATGTTTTCATCGCGCATTTTCAGGAGTTTCAAAGCTTCACTGGCTCCCTTAGCAATTAATGGCACTGTGCAATTGTTACCGAGAACCTGAAGCTCTAACCCGTCCAGCTTTTGGTTTCGAGTATTTCTTCGCTTCACTTTACTTCAATTGTACATCACAAAGAGAGTGTTCGTATCATCAAGCTCAGCATCCAACTGAGGAACTCACCTCTTGGTTCAACTCATCATGCCGTGCCATCCTGGATTTGGTGGCTCCTTCAAAAACTGTGCTCCCAAAACCTAAACTCGAGCCTTGGTTTAACGACAAAACTCGCGCAGCTAGGCAGGGGTGTCGCAAAGCCGAACGCAAGTGGAAAAAAGACAAATTGCAGGTCTCTTATCAAATTTGGAAAGACTGCTGGCGTAATTACCAGCTCACAGTAAAAGAGGCCAAAAGAGAATATCTGTCGGACCTTATTCAAGCTAACCGTCACAACCCACGCGCACTATTTAAAACGATAGATTCTGTACTAAAACCCCCTCTGCCTTCTTGCTCGGATTCTTCACCCGAGGTGTGCAACAGATTCCTTCAGTTTTTCATTGATAAGGACTCTACAGCTAGGACTTCGGTCTCTAATACCGCATCTGACCCCTCTGTCCAAAATTCGTGTTCAGCTGTGCTAAATTCTTTTGAAACTGTGTCCTTGAAGCTTTTGGAGAATGTAGTTTGCCAGACGAAGCCATCTGGCTCCCCCTGCGACTTTCTCCCCCCACATTTCTTTCGGGAGGTTCTACCGAGTGTTGGTGCATCGGACTTGGACATCATCAACAGCAGCCTCTCTTCTGGGATAGTTCCCCAACAGTTTAAACATGCTGTGGTCCAACCCTTGATCAAGAAACCTGGTCTTGATCCAGATGTGCTGGCAAACTTCAGGCCCATTTCCAAACTGCCTTTCATTTCAAAAATTTTGGAAAAAGTGGTGCACATGCAGTTGAAAT